ATAAGGGGGGGGGGGGTGAAGTGGGGATCATCATGTGTAAGAATCCAGATGTGTGAAATGAATCTGTATGAAAAATTAAACTGAGTTCAAAGGTGGACGAGCACCTAGGACTTTCTGCTGGAGTTAACAGTCAGTGAACATGAAGAAGAAGAGATGCATTCACATCATCGCCATCATGTGCCATACCAGTAGGCGTAGGCTGTCATGTTTCACCATATCACACGATCACTAGAATCTCGGATTAGTTCAATGTTCCATGCATCTAGCCAGGTCATCCAGTTATTTTTTTCTTTGCCTTCCTTAGCAAAGCAAGCACTGTTTCAAGTTTTTTCAGTCCCCCAAGGCCATAGCTAATGTCCGAGGCATTTAAGAATGACAACGTTAACTCATGGGTATATTACTTCCAGACAGGCCAAATATACTCGTACAACCCTTGCAGGAAACGGATATGTCAGTACTCTCAAAAGTTGCCGACTAAACATGAGATACAAAAGCATAGATAACATGTTGAATTGCATACGCGAATAATAGGCAGACATGCATACAGCTTTGTCTGGGACAGACATTAACTGGCCAGGTACTTTTCGTCACTACAGCCATTTTGATGTAGTGGTTTGTGGGCTCATGACCGTCTCGTTCACTCCTAAACAAGAGCAAATCAAGAAATGTTAGCGCCATTTTCATGTTCAGTACTCCACAATTAGTAAAATGTTTCACGTCACTCCCATGATCGTGTTGTCCAGTAGAATAAGTGACCTTTAACAACATATAAGGGGGTGGGGTGGGGTGTAAGCTCGTGGGCCTATTCTACCCCTCCCTAAATGGAGCCCAGGAACACGCACACAGACAATCAGAGATACAATGTCGAATTGCTTCTATCACGTATTGAATTCTCGTTGTTGGTCTACAGATTTTTGGACCAATACTGCCTATTGTGACTGTTCAAAACCATCTAGAGGCCATTGAGATCATCAACAGCAGGTAGGCTTGTAGAATTTAATGTGGTTGTTAACTGAGTTTACTAATTTATTCTTGTTTTGCATTAGCCCTCACCAAGGCGGTTGGCATGGTATATTGTGGTTAAAAGCTAGGCTGTGATAGCTGTACACATGTGCCCAATAATCTGATTTTAACCAACCCCTAAGTTATCGCCCTTTACAGCATGCATTTTAGAGGTCTATTTGATACCAGAAACACTTGGAGCAGTTTACTGATATTTAGTTGTATATAGTACTAATTAAAGTTGTATTGAACTGCTTATCGTCATTCATGCATAGTCATAGAAATAGATGCTAAAGGATTCTCAACCCTTATACCTGGAAGAGAGGTTCGATCGCAGCCTGTCCTTCAAAGAACATGTTGATCATGTCATAACAAAAGCACACAAAGGCAAGTCAGCAATGAGGGTCCTGGCCGCCGTTCACACTGAGCAGAGAGTTCTTCTGCTTCTGTATCAGGGACTTGTACTTTCACCCATCGAATATGCTCTAGCCATTCTCACTGTCAGTCATACTCGGATTGAAAGACTTGAGGAGGTGCAAAACAAAGCAATGCACATTATTCTGGGGTGCACTGGAGACACCTTTTTTGTAGCAATGAGATACCTTCTTGACTTTCCTAACATGAACTACAAGATCAAGATCAGGAGGGCTCGTGTATACCTCAAGGTAAGCTCTGATCTGAAGCATCCTTTGCACCACATGTTCTCCAGGAAAAAGGGCATTAAACTTAAAAGGGGCAAATCAAAGCTGGATATGGCAGAGGATGACATCATGCGGGTCTGCAGCCTTACAGTTATCCGTCCAGGTGAGGAATGGATAACACCGTCTAAACCTCCCTATCTCCCATTCTCCTGTGATGTCACGCTTGATAGAAGTTGTTGGGAGCAGAATCCCGCTGCTGTCAACGCCGAGATAGTGCGCTTATCAGTGACGTCAGATGAGACAGACGGGCTGATCTTCACAGACGGGGTCAGTTATACGAGGACATACGAGTGCATGGGCATTTACAGCTCGCTCTTTAGGCAGAACGAACTTTATTTTCAAAGAGTTACAAATAGGGCACGCAGCCTGTCTTAATTCGGCCCTTCCAAACTCCCATCTTTCACACAGCAAGCAGAACAGTTCAGGAAGCCAGCGGTGCCTTCTCCATGACCACCTGCAGCACGTCGATGTAGGCGATGGCGGTGACACAAGTTTTCATGTGGCTAGAATCACAGGACTATTCCCGCGTGTGTGTGCTGAGTGATTCTTTGAGCATGATCCGTCCAGGCAGGCTGGTTACGCCGACTGTGGACTGAGTCATTGCAAAACTCTCCTGTGTGTGCAGTTACCTTCATAATTGTCCCAGGATATGTAGGTGTTGTTGGTAGTGAAAGAGATAATAGACTTTCAGGTGCCGCATTAATTAAGGTTCCGCAGGCGCCTGTGCAAAAGTAAGAAGCACAACAGGGGCAAGCGCCGAAGGCCCGACAACAGGGGCAAGTGCCGAAGGCCCGACAACAGGGGCAAGCGCCGAAGGCCCGACAACAGGGGCAAGCGCCGAAGGCCCGACTCTTCGTGGGTATCGAAACTTGGATTTTTTTGGTATTTCTATGTTCCTTGGCAGTGGCTCCCCGCCCCCTCCACTTTCAGAAAAAGAAGCCACTGACAAGGAACGCAGAAATACAAAAACATCTTAGTTTTGATACTTACGACAGTCGTTCAAGCAGCACCACGTAGAAATTATCACGCAAAGTAAGCGGTGACAACACGAGAAAAGAGACAACGATTAAACCGTTAAAAGTAAGGAATACATGACCCCTCCACAACATAGGACATGCCATGCGACCCGCCACGGAATGAATGGCAGGGGAAGGAAGTATCGACGTGCGGTTGAATTCGTGATAAGTAGCCAGTTAGATATTGTTGGTTTGAGAATGTGTTTTTATGGAGCAAAACATTTTTTTTTGTCCACCAGAGAGAAGCCGCTCGCCCTGTATGTTTTCACAACCAACAAGAACATGGTACAAGACTTCAAAGACAAGACCAGTTCTGGGGGTCTTCTTTTCAATGACACTATCAGCCATGCTGCTGGTAAATATGCCTTACACTTTATTCTTCTTCAGTCATCTCGCTTCCTTATCTTTCCTTCTTCTTCTCTTCATTCAACTCGACATGGTCAAGGGCAGCTACTTTATTGTCTTTTTCTGTTTCCTCTTCTTTTTTCTTACTAATCTCTCTTCTCCTCTTTTTTTTTAATTCTTCTCCTACTCCTCCTTCTCTTCCTTCTCTTTTATCCTCTTACTGTCCCTCTACTTTCTTCTTCTTCCTCCTTCTTCTCTTCCCCATTCTCTTACCTTCTCTTCTTCTGCACTTTTTCCCCTATCCTCTTCTCATCATCCTTCTCCATCTTTTTCCCAGTGACCCTGCAATAGCGTTAGGATAAAAATAGACTTGTAGAATTAACCCCGATGCTAGGAAGTTTGCCAGACCAGTACTGGAATTTGGAATCTGTGGAGAAGTATACTAGGATTTAACCAGCCAGATCATCATTCTGCGGAGTGGGTACTTTTTGTGTGTGCCAGATTTAGTATTTATTAGGCCCTAAGTTGTATACGCCTGAGACCCCTGCCGTTTTAAACTTCACAAGAAAATCTCAGTAAACTTTAAAATATATTCGCCTTTTAAATAAATTAATAATGGAAATTTACTGCTATTTAATTTTTATTACAAGAAATAATGATTCGTGTGTTTGTGAAATCACATACATTACATTGTATAATCATCTAAAAAGCTATATAAAAAAGTTAGTTGCGTATCCTTTACAGGACGTTGCAGAACCAACCCTAACAGCCCCTGGCTGTTGTGTGGTTTCTCTAGGGAATTTACATCCAGTAGTTTGCCATTGTTTTCTGGACGGTTGCCTTTCTTGATACCACTGTCGAAACCAACGCAAGTCGCATTGCCCGCAGCTGGGATCGAACCTGGCATCCCGGCATTACGAAGCGAAGCGTTCGCATCGACTTAGCCACAGAGCCGACAAAAAGCTATATAGCAGGCTCGTATCGTATCGTATAAAATCAAACAAAAATTCCAAACTGTCCTTTTTTAGCCGCCTGATGGCCTGCTTTTTCAAGGACGGTTCCTTTGCTATCTTATTTTATTTATATTCCTTGTGGTGAGCACTTTCACCTGAGTTTGTTCATTTGTTGCCTAAGTTCTGGTTCTGAGGGGCCTGGTTCCTGTTTAATTGGCTATTCGCTAGCTTTTGCACCGTTCATCTGTGTTAGCACCAAGTCAGTTCGAAGTCACACCGCCACGAAACAAACAGTTCCGCATACTGAGCGCCCTAAAACACGGCCCCCACAGACGACTGTCACAATCTTGTTGTTGTGTGCAGCCGTTAGATAAGTAGAGGAGGTAACAAAGGTTGCAAAAAAATTAGAACGCCCGAAGGTGCAAAGATATTGTATAGCTAGGTCGGAAGATGGAGAGAGACAGATAGCTTGCTAGGTTGAGGAAGAGGTCCTTGGTGAGTTGAGTCCTGCACACTGCCTGCTCTGCCTGGGTTGATCTGAAAATAGACTGATTTACATTTTAGATACATAGGGGAAGGGACGGGTGAAGTAATCAGAGTAGCGTAGTAGCCTGGAATTCCACAAGTGCTGGTCCCCTTATTGTGCAATGCCCTTTTAGCTTTTAGCAGGCTGATTATTTTATTCAATTTAAATAGGCCACAACAAGTTGGAATAATTTAAAGCGTGAGATAATGTATCCAAAAAAATGTTAATACCATTGTAATTCTTTTTTTTTGGGGGGGGGGGGGAGGGGGGGGGGGAGGTGCTGGATTTTAAAGTGTATTAAAAGTTTTATTTTAAAATTAAAATTGTATTTAAAACAAATTGTACATTTAAAAAGGGAAAATTTTGGGCGACTGCAGATTGTAAGGCCCTAAGGCTTAGCTTATACCTAAATCCAGCCCTTGTGTAGAGACAAGCTTGGAATGCCACCTGGGTTGTGAATGTTTCCTTTAACAGTTTTTTGTTTTTCGTTGTCAACAAAGAAAAATCTAACAGAGATAAGAGGACTTCAAAGAGCTGCTAGAGTTACAATAAATGATAAAATTACGAATGAAGAAATCAGAAGAAGAGGACTAGAAAACTGAAAATCAGTCATCCACTTCATTCTTCCTCTTCTTCTCCATTTGTCGACTTCTTCTATTGATCGCCAACGAGCAGGCTGATAGATTAGCTGCTGCAGCTCCTCTTGGCGGTGAGCTACTTTATAATAAAGTGGACTGTTAAAGACTCTCTAGGATCGAATGGACAGTGCAATAGAACCGACAAAGAATTCGTACATTGGGTGGGTAGAAGATCTGGAAGATATTCAGCACTGAGGGGGGAAATATAGGCGGACTTTTAATCCGCAAGCAACTGGTACTGTTATCATGTCAACTGTTTATTGGCTACTGAAGAAGAGAACAAAGCACATATGGGAATGTGCTGAGTGCAGCCATGTCAGTTCTTGATTCGTTAATGTTAACATGGGATAATGATGGACATTCTGTCTGGTTTCTGCTGGCACAAGAGCAGAGCAATCATAAGTTGGCCCCCTTTTGCCATGAGGTTGAAACTGTATTTTACTGACTGACTGATTTGTTTACTGACTGACTGATGTGTTAACTGACTGAGTGATATGTTGACTGACTGACTGATATGTTAACTGACTGACTGATATGTTAACTGACTGACTCATGTTGACTGACTGATATGTTAACTGACTGATTGATATGTTAACTGACTGACTGATATGTTGACTGACTGATATGTTGACTGACTGATATGTTGACTGACTGAATGATATGTTAACTGACTGACTGATATGTTGATTGGCTGATTTATTGACTGACTAATATGTTAACTGACTGACTGATATGTTGACTGACTGAATGATATGTTAACTGACTGATTGATATGTTAACTGACTGACTGATATGTTGACTGACTTATATGTTGACTGACTGAAATGTTGACTGACTGAATGATATGTTAACTGACTGACTGATATGTTGATTGGCTGATTTATTGACTGACTAATATGTTAACTGACTGACTGATACGTTAACTGTCTGACTGATATGTTAACTGACTGACTGATACGTTAACTGTCTGACTGATATGTTAACTGACTGGCTGATATGTTAACTGATTGACTGATATGCTTGTTATCGTTTCCACAGTGAGCAGCCTCCCATTTGGAGGAGTTGGACACAGTGGGATAGGTGCCTACCATGGCAGACATTCCTTTGATGCCTTCAGTCACAGCAAGGCAGTCCTGGAGAAGAGTCTGGCACTGGACCAGATTAACGAGTAAGATATACACCATATGTTTGTTTCTTTAAACCCTATGATCTGGGTTAACTTTTGAGTGGCTTTGTAGCCTAGTGGCCAGATGCTTGTCTGCTGACCTGAATGTTTTCGGTTTAAATCTGCATCCAGACAGATGTTTAAAAGTTACATTGGCTCTCAGGTTGACCAAGCCTAAAACTGGACCGGCTAGTGTCCTGGGAAATAAAGATGGTCGGTGTGATGATGACCCCATCACCTAATGAGTATTCATTGCTTTATAAAAATAAGAGTCAAGCGTCAAATACCCGATGCACCACTGGTATCAAAAAGGGCACATGGCTTTTTATTTTTTACTTGGGTGGCTTCAAGAAGAATCGAAGACTGTACATCGGTAGGCTCTATCCTAAAAAAACACAGGACAGTTAAAATATTTTGGCCACATTAAAAGACATCACTGTATGAAAAATCATACTGGAGAGAAAGGTAGAAGGCAAGAGAGCAAGAGTTAGACAACGATACAAGTAGGTGGATAACTTCAAGAGATGGACAGACGGCAGTCTGAGAAAATGTACAACCAAGACCGAAGACAGAGAGCATGTTGAGAATCCATTGCAGACAACCTTCATTGTGGAGGCAGCACCTAAATCATTTACCAATCCTACGAGTTAAGTAACACGCTTATTCAGAACATGTTTATCTGCTTTGAAAGTATTGACTGTGTATTATGTAACCTTAGTTTATTAGTCGAGGTGACAACTTTATTACACACGATTTTTCTTATAACTGCTTCATCCCTGTGCAGTGGAAATCGTACAAAATGTTCTTCGCTGTCCTATTTAAAACGTTAATGAAAAACATGTAAGTCCCAGCAAAATCTTGAAGTTTGTGCACGCAAAGTAAATGCATAAAACAACTTTCAGATGTGACAATACTAGCAGTTCTCCACTAGAATTATGGTTCATTGTTGATTCAAGCTGTCAGTCATGAAAACCAGCATTTGCTCCAGAAATTCCGTATGTAAATGGCCACCTGCCAGCTTTGGCACAGCAGGAAAAAAAACGTTCCGAATGAAATCCACAGCTCACAGTGTCACATCAAGCACTCAGTTCATTAGCTGGCCGATGGAGCTTTTCGACTCGGTGCCCAGCCAGAAGTCTGACGTAGCTTTGATGCAGATTCACATTAGCGACCAGCAGTGCGTTTAATAATCATGGAAGTGACTGTTCCAACACATATAAAGGTCTTAAGCTGCTACAGCTCTAGGAATGTCTACTTTTAACATTTCTATAAATTCTAACAAGCTTTTATTATACATTTTGTAGTAAACATTTACTAAAATTCTAGTAAACATTTATTTATATATATGAAATAGAACTCAGACTAATATTATTGGTCTATAGAAGCATTAATATTAATTATATGAAGTTAAACAACAATTTCGGGGTTATATTTTCAGTCTGCGTTATCCGCCATATACAGATAAGAAGTATAGTTGGGTTAGCTGGCTGTTGACAAAGAAAATCAAGAAGACCGGATTTTCTGCCCTCTTTCTATGAGCTCAATGTTTTCCTTCTTTTTCAAAGTAAGTGTTCCAGGTGGGGTTTGTGTATCTATATGTGTGCCTGTATGCATGACTATGTGTAAGAGAGTGAGTGCTTGAGATAGTATATGTGTGAGAGAGTGTGTGTATCTTTATGTGTGCCTGTATGCATGAATATGTGTAAGAGAGTGAGTGCTTGAGATAGTATCTGTGTGAGAGAGTGTGTGTATCTTTATGTGTGCCTGTATGCATGACTATGTGTAAGAGAGTGAGGGCTTGAGATAGTATCTGTATGAGAGAGTGTGTGAGTTAACTATGGGCTATATGTGATACATACTGTGACAGGTGGAAGGATTTCTGGAAAAGGAGATGGAAAACAGCAACAGATGATACCTAACAATCTGTTATCATGACAAACCTTTGCCGCAATGTGCATATAGTGTTTATAGACCATTCAGAGATAGAGGAAAACAGCAAGAGACGATACCTAACAACCTGTCATCATGACACACCTGTTAAGTATTACCTTTCCGTCCTTTTTATTTGAAGCCCTACTCTGGCTCTTGCCAGGAGCCGCAATATAGCCTGGTCATAAATATGGCCTAAAGGCTGAACGCGGTTTCTGGGACCTCTCCACGGTGATCCTCATCCACATGGTGGCACTTTGTGTCATCGGGTGTTTTTTCGCTTGTGTGATGTCCTGATGGGTTAGAAAGTCGTCAGTCAGTCGTGACACACCTTTGACGCCTAGTGCATATAGTGTTTATAGACCAATCAGCTGCCAATGGGTGATGTGGTCAGCATCATGCCGTGCGCCTTTATTATTATTTTGTTTTGTTTTGTTGTTGTTAACCTGGTACCAATTTTAGACTGGTCGACCTGACAGCCGGCACTTCTAAGTGACTGTGACGAACACATACTGGTAATCATAGATTACTGTCGGCAAACATAGGCAATCATTGTCCTGCTATTATTGCCTGCAAGTCCGCTTTTATGGAGTTGTCTTTCAGTCTGAGGATTTAGGACCGGATAGCTAGTGCCGTGACCACGGACTGTTTAGGTTAGTATTTCAATGTTGCTTCCAAAAGACACCCCCCCCCCCCCACCCCAAGTCCCTAACCTTACCGAGGAATCAAACCGTTTGGCCAGCCGCTCCTCAAACATTATTTTATGTGTTATATATCCCCACCCCCTTCCTAGTAATTTTCTCAGCCAGTGGATGAGACAGAAGATCACAGGCACCTCAAAGTCTGTTCTGTGACGCATGTCCTCCGCTGAACTGTAGAGCTTGATTTCTACCACAATGCAAACTGGCCTGTTCGCGGTAACAAGTAAAGTAATGGACCTTTCTCCATGCGTCCATGCATATTGGTCATACAGGGCTAGACCTATTTTTTTTAATTAGACCAATGGGGCACTTGGTGGGGGATATGGTCAACATCCCGCCTGCCCGAACAAAGTTCTTGTAGCTTTCTGCTGCATGTAGTGAGCACGTCTACCGTGTCAAATGATTCTCTTATCTGTCCCTGATGAAGCTACTTGACCAGGCCATCTGTTACTGTCGTACCTTGCATACGAACTTGAGCATTACTGAAATGAAAATGAATAGCACAGTTGATTTGGAAGTCACAGTGTAGCGACTAGAAGCTCTCATTGGACCCAAAGGTTGTAGATTCAAGCCGCATCGAGTCTGATGTTTTCAAAAAAAAATACCTTGACTCCCAGGCCGACCCCAGCCTAAAACAGGTACCAGGTAAAGTCCTGGAAAGTAAAGGCAGATGGTGTGATGGTTACCGCATCACTCACTCATCGGTCTTATCCCCGTGTGGGTTCCGGGGCCCCATTGTGGAAAAAACAAGAATAGACCCACTGCCTACCCAAAAGCATGTCGTAAGAGTCGACTAATTGGGGAGCTTCCTTTGAAGTCGGAGTAGATCTGCCTGAGGGGCAAGGAACCAACAGTCTGTATTCAAGTGAATCAGATCTGTAAAACTGATGCACACGCAACACTCAAGTTCTTGAGCAGGACTGCAGTTCAGAAGTGGACGAACAGCCAGAACTTTCCGCCAGAGTTTACAGCTGGTGAACGCAAAGAAGAAGAAGAAGACTCATCGGTCTATAAATTTAGGTCTAAAACTATATGCTAAGGGAGTCGCCGGGGCACAGCGGCTAGACGCTCACGAGCGGATCGGAAGATCGTGGGTTCGCTCCCTTGCGGACCTAGACTTTTTTGTTCAAATGACCTTCTCTCGGGTCGACCCAGCCTTGAGTGGGAGCAGTCCCGGGAAGTAAAGACGGCCGGCGTGATGCTGGCCACATCACCCGTCTTGTGTCGATTGGTCTGTAAAATATATAGGTCTAGTCTTATTTTCCCGATACGCCTAAAGGTGTAGAAAAGGGACCTTTACTTTACTTACTATGTGCCGAAAATGTCTAATGGTATTGAAAGGGTCCTTTTACAGTTGAATGTATTTCTGTATTTCCACAGACACTAGGTGTCACAGCATATACAATCGAGGGTAGAAATGGTCACGCTTGAGTTAACTCTGCTGCAGACTGAAGTGGTGTCATTCACACCTGGATGATCAAAATACATGACATTTTTTGTTGTAATCTGTGGTTGTGTCAGCTAGTTTCTTTGCTGTCTGTAATAAGAAACTGCCAGTTGCAAATGACTCTTGTTTACTAGTTGCTTTATAAACTGCCTCTGTGTTCCTTCAGCTACCATAATTAATTCAGTATTAATATCAGCTGCTGTCATTAATTTTTTTTTTTTTTTTAATGAGAAAATCAGTTATAACTGACTGTTGATGTTTTCTTGCTCTTCTGCCAGACACTATTGCTGTTACTTGTTACTTGTTGTACGTACTGACATCCTAGCGCACTGGTCTGACCCATTGTTGATGCTCCATTCTCAGATGCATCGTCACACCCTGCAGGAGTTGACTGGTTTGACTGGTATTTTATGTTGCATTGCTTGGCATGCTTTGTCCTTGTTTGATACCCGCTTCCAACAGGCTGTTCTTTGTCTCCGACTTCTTTGTTTCCGTATATCTGGAGCGTAGCGCATTCATTATGATTATAATCTCCATACTTCTTCCTCCACTAACTACTGCAGACACAACCAATTTGTCAGCTTCTTTATTTCTTTTCACTCCGGCATATCCTAGTGTGAGCAACCAAGATATTTTCTTGAGTCGGGACTTCTGGATGCTGTCAACCCATTTCTTCTTCTTCTTCTTCTTCTTCTTCTTCTTCTTCTTCTTCTTCTTCTTCTTCTTCTTCTTCTTCTTCTTCTTCTTCTTCTTCTTCTTCTTCTTCTTCTTCTTCTTCTTCTTCTTCTCTGCGTTCACCGGCGGCAAACTCCGGCGGAATGTTCTGGTTGTTTGTCCACTTCTAGACTCCAGTCCTGTTCCAGAACCTGAATGTGCATCCGTTTCACAGGTCTGACTGTTGGTTCCCTGCCCCTCAGGCATATGTACTCCGACTTTAAAGGAAGCTCCCAATAAGTCGCATCTTACGACATGCTTTTGGGCAGGTAGTGGGTCTATTCTTGTTTTCCCCCACAATGGGGCCCCGGAACCTACACGGGGATAGTCAGTTTAACAGTCTGCATCTTCCCCAGCATGCTCATTGAGCCTGTCACTATTAGTGCATGAGTTGCCTTTAGTTCCGTCACCATGAATGTGCCCCTGTGACGGCTGCTATCTCTATCATCATGCTAGAATTAGTTGAACTGATTGCCCGGCTTTCTTCTTTTACTGTCTTTCCTTTTAGCTGGGCTGTGTGTGTCCACCCAGACCACACCCCGCCAATCACTGAGCCGTATAGATGATAACGTCCCCTGGTCGAGTGTGCTCATGGATGAGCGCCCTCATTTCAGCATCAGTGGTTGTTTGGCCCCCATTCTCTGCAATACCTGCCCAAGCTGATTATTACCTCAATGTGCTCTTGCATTCCTTCTGGTGTTTCTATCCATCCATCACCGAGCCTGACATGTTCCAATAGGCAAAGGTGGCTAGTGGTGTCCTCTGCTTCTGCCAAATAGGACTGCTCCCTCTTTATTCACTTACAATTGTTGAACTGTAGGCAGCTATACAGAGGGTGTTTTATGTCAACAGCAACATCCTGTTAACCCCTCACCTGAACCATCTTATGTCTAATGATCGTGTCAGTCAAGTCAATTATACATCGTATGTCCGACACTGTCAAAATAGTTTGTATATTCTTTGTCTGCCACCATTGCTGTTATCATTAAACAATGTGTCTACATTAATGGCCAGCTATAATGTCTCCAACAACCTTTATCTGACATCTTTATGGTGCACTCATGCAGGCTTCTTTCTGTCCAGCTCAGGATGTTATCTACCCGCAATGTTTTCCTCTTACACACGTCCCCTCCAATCACCACCCCCCCCCCCCCTCCTTTCCCCTTTTCTTCCCCCACACAGCAGACGCATCTTATGTAATGGCCAAAGTGGCTCAAATGTTTTTGCTTGATCTCATTCAGTAAAATTTTTCTCAAATCCAAGTTTTTCTGTAAAACTTCTTTGATTTCTTCTCCTACCATACTTATTACATTAGCATGTATATTTTGAAAGCTTCACTTCTGAGCCACCTTGTTAACTGATCGTTAAGGCTTTTGCAGTACACAATAACGCAAATGTATCACTTGATCTTCAGAGAAATGTTTAAGAAAAAGGGAAAGAACATCTGTGTCCTTTTTCTAATGTATTATATACTTTGGTCATTATTTCTGTATGTTTGTTTTTAATACTGTCATTCCATTATTGGCATAGTCTTTTCTTTAATGTAGTTTTCAGTGGCAGTTGGTACGATGGTATTCTTATGACATGGCCAAACCATCTCTCCCTAGAGCTGTTGCATATTGTTGAATGTTGCTTTATCCATCATAATTATTTCTTAATAATTACTCAACACTCTGGTGGTATCAGTCTATTGTTGTCTGCCATTGTTGACTCAGCTGTTTGGTTCTCTTGT